GCCAGAGCAACCCTGTCTGCTGTAGCGAAGACCAAGTCGTCGACGTAGAAAAGGACAACAAAAGGAGTGGAGCCTATGCGAACAAACTGCGACGGGTCGGCGGACGAAGGGCAGAAAGTGAGGTCAGCCATAGTGGTGCGTAGCGTGTCGTGCTACTCACGGGGTGCCTGGCGGGGACCGTAGACTAGTCGCCTGAGGCCCCACAGGGTCCCAGGAGGGAAAGTGCAGAGAAGCCAGGAGGACGCCGCACCCAGATCTCATCGTGTAGGCGGCCCTGGAGAAAGGCAGTGGAGAAGTCAAGGGAGTGCAGCTCGTAGTCTCGCTGTGCTGCTACGTGAATTAACACCTGAAGAGTAGTCATAGCAGAGCCACTACACGGCCCCGCAGAGCAACCCACTCACGAAGCTGCTGCAGCGAGGGAGTCTCCTAACAACGCGGAGGCTTCTGCTGCTGCAGTCCACCCCCAGAACCGCCACCTCCACCTGCTGCTCCACCAGACGCAGCTCCACCAGACGCAGCTCCACCCGACGTCACACCTGCCCCACCACCCCCGCCACCTCCACCTCGACCGCCACCCCCACCTCCTCTGCCACCTCCACCACCCCCGCTACCCCCACCACCCCCGTCCCCCCCACCGTCTTCGCCACCTCCTCCACCCCACCACCCCCACCCTTCTTGCGCGCACCCCTGTTGCGCCTCCCGCTAGGAGAGGACGCAGCTCCAGCCTCCTCCGCACTGAGGAAGTCAATAGCAGCAGCAGAGGCAACAAAGGACGCCAGAAGGGAGGGAATACACCCCTAAAAAATGAGGTGAAGGGGGTGCTACGGGAGGCAGCGACAGCGCGGACACTGGTCTCAGTCTCAAGGAGACGAGTCTCAAATGAGTCAAGGGTGAGACTAGGGGTCTAGGGAGAGGAACTAGTAGCGAGTTGCACAAAGGGTGTCAGAGAGGCGAGTCACTAGGAAGTACAGAGTGAGGTAAAGGGGGGGCTGATTCTCTTTCAGAAACTCGAGCTGGAGAGCAGCACGGTAGCGAGTGTCAAGGGAGCGCAGGTGGGTCACCAGGTCAGCTACAGTGGTGAAGTCTGATAGCTCAGGGAAGAGAAACGGCAGCACAAGACGGCCTAGGGTGGCAGAGGACGGGGAGGAGTAGCGCTTGATACAGCGGCATAGAAGGCCTGGGCCGATTTCACTTGGCGAAAGTGGACCCTCTGGTCAGGCGACAGGTGGTTGAGGACAGCAAGCATAGCATCTGCGTCGCACGCCGTCCACTGCGTGCATGCAGCACGGTCAGTCTGGTACTTCTTCTGCACATCCTCCGCAGCAACATGGGAAGGCTCAATTGGAGTCGGCGGGGTTTTAAGGGACCCCGACGTGTGCTCGAACAGCGAGAGGTCATCCCTGGTGACTCTCTGTAGGTACATGGTCAAGTCCTTCAGCCAGGACTCAAACTCGATAGGGCGCCCCTCTGCGTCGAACGCTAGGACAGTAAAAGTCGCCATGACCGAAACTAGGTCATGCAGTAGCACTAGGAACGAGTTGCAGTGCTAGGCACGGGCGATGCCGCGGGGTGCAGTGGGAGAACGGACACTACGGCAGTAGATGAGCGGCTCGGCAGCAGGCAGAGCGGCAGTGAGGCGCGGCACAGCAGTAGGCAGGGCGGCGCGGCGTGATTAGGCAGGGCGGCACGGCTCGGAAGGGCGGCACGGCTCGGCAGGGCGGCACGGTGTGACAGGAGGCAGGGCGGTGCGGCAGTAGCGCAGGGCAGCGCGGGCGGCAGCGCGTACGGCAGGGCGGTAGTGCGGGGTAGCGGAGGCGGCAGCCAGCAGCGCGGGGTAGCGCTGGTGGCAGCGCAGGCGGTTGAGCGGCAGTGCAGGCCAGCGTAGGGCAGCGCGGGCGGCAGCGGGGTGCAGCGCGAGTGGCAGCGCAGCAGCGCGGGCGGCAGCGCAGGTAGCAGCAAAGGCGGGGCAATGCGGGCAGCTGCGGTGGCGGCAGCGCGCGGGGCAGCGCAGAGCAGCGCGGGGCAGTGTGGGCGGTTGCGTGGGCGGCAGCGAGGTAGCGCGCAGGGCAGCGCGGGGCAGTGCGGGCGGCAGCGCAGCGCATCGTTGGCGACAGCGCGGGGCAGCGGAGGCGGCAACGTGGGGTAGCGCGGGGCAGCGCGACAGCGCGCGCAGGGCAGCGTGGCAGCGCAGGGCAGCGCGTGCGGGGCAGGGCTGCAGCGTGGGGCAGCGGGCAGGGCGCGGCACGACGGTAGGCCAGCGGGAGGCAGTAGAGCAGTGGCGCGCGCGAAGGCAGCAGCGCCTAGGGCAGTACGGCAGGCAGATCTAACCTACTTGATGATACCATGTTAGAATGTGAAACATCAGAATGTGTTCACTATCAAGGGGAGCAGTACAAATAGCAACCCTAAAAGGTTTGTACCCCTTACAGTTAGCCTCACTACAGCCTAACACACAAACATACAAATATGTTTGACACGGGAGCCCTCAAGCAGCTGAAAACGAGAACGGTCTACTGCAGCAGGGAGTCGCTGGTGATCCAATGTGATGTCACCACCATGAACGCCAAGGCGTTCTTGCTGGTTTAATTTTTAATGGTGACTGTAATCATCCCTCCCAGCCCATCGGCTAACAACAGCTGCCGCAGCTCCGCCCCAGCTGCATCGCCCGATATATGCATGTCGCGTGCTAGGCAGAAACAAGTGCCGAGGTGTCACGCCGCCTCGGGGTTTAGCATCGCGACAAAGTCCTTAAACTGGCATGGGGCAGGGCACAAATATGGAATGCTTGCAAGGTTTAGTATAATGTAAGGAGTGATTACAAGGCATCATCAATCGGACAACCCTAGTATCGAGAACATCATACCCATGAGATCTTACATCTTGCCGGTTGACCGCTAGAAACGGCATGTCGAGTGACTCAAATAGCATCACCAAACCCTCGTACAGCTGCTGAGCACCAACCTGCAATGTGACGAATGAGCTCATGGCAGCGACACCTGTCATCCTACTCGAACCAATCCCTGTCGTTCCAAATGAAATGTTGGACCACGTATCCGCATGCTCCCATGGCCATTTGAAAGGATAAGGGACGTATGGTCCCCACCCCCCATCCGGGAAAGTGGTATATGAAGGCTTCTTCGGATCGAAGTAGCGACAAAACCAGATTTGCATACTAGGGTAGTGAAACCGCTTGAAGTGCCCCCCGCCCCCCCCCCGAACTTGTTCTACTCTGACCACACTTCATTTCTGTGTTGCACCTCAGGCAACGCCCTCCCTGACCCATCACTAGGTCCAACACCACCCCCAGCACTTCCCCCCACGACCGCCCCCTCACCTTGAGCCCACACCGCAGGCCGCGAACACCCCCCCCCTGACGCCCCCCCGCACACGCCCTCTTTTTTTAAGCCCAGCTTCCACGGGCGGCACTTCCATCAACTCGCCCCCCACCCCTACCCCGCCGTCATCGTGAGACTCTGAACCCTCACTTTCGTTTTTTCACCTCTGGAATTCCCCCTTTGTCCCCCCCTCTTTCTTCTCCTAGGTTTGCATTCTACAAAAGGCACGTGCCCCTCTCTTGTAAGGTAGGGCCGTGCCCCTCTCTTGTAAGGCAAGGCCGTGCCCCTCTCTTGTAAGGCAGGGGCGTGACCATTCCTGCCTGCCTCGCAGCGTGAAAGCACGCTTCTCGCCAGCACTTGACTTGGCTCACCTCCATTCCACTCACTGCCACCACCTCATCCATTCCACGTTTCACTACCCCACACCTGCCCCTCCTACTCCCTCCAACACCCCCTATTGCCCTCCCCGTGCACCCCCCCCCCTTCCCTTCCCCATCATATCCCCTCCTCTTCGCTCCCCTATCATCCTCCCTCCCTCCCAGGTTCGGGCACCGGGTGTACACAGGGGGCGGGCAGGTATTCGCGACGCTGACGTCTGCGGAGAGTCACTCTACAAATAGTCGTGAGCTAGACTATGGGGTGTTGGCACGGACTCTAGGAGTGGTCGTAGCTTTTCCTGGTTCCTTAGCACTTGCACATTCACGGGAGAAATTGGCAAGAGTTTCCACTAGCAGTTTGCATTACTGAATGATAGCAATGACAAATAACAAGAATTACTACATCAGGCACCTAGCAACTCTGCAGCTAGCCTGGTCGACCGCCAGCACAGCATGGTCGACCGCCTGGCAGCGTTGCGTAGAGGAGCCGCGCCAGCATTGTAGAAACGCGGCATGCCAACACAGCAGGTCGACGGCGTGCCAACGCTGCAGCAGAGCGGCTGTCCAGCGTTGCACCCATAGAAGACAGCAGTGCGCATGCTCGCAGGTGCGCGCAGACGATTGGCCCGACTTGCACCGTTGTGCATCTGACGGCTGTGGTCTGCGTCTGACGAGCCACATCGACTTCGGGATACCAACTCGAAGTCGCCTTCGCCATCGCGACCTCGACGAAGTTCGCGTGCCTCCGCAGAAATCGCCGAGCAGGTTACCTAGTCTGGTCGACCACCCAGTGCTCTGTTCGACGCCTCCCTCGTGGACCACAGCTCCTGTCGAGGAGCACCCTGGTCAACGGACCCCTGCGTCGACCAGGACTGTCAGCTGCTCCTCCTGGTCGACAGCCCGTCCGTCGACCAGCCCAGTCAGCTGCAACCGTCGAGCTCCCCTGGTCGACGGCTCCAGCTTCGCGGGAGTCCTTTGCAGGTCGACGACCACCTCGTCGACCTGCCCCGCAGAAGAAGACCGTCGAGCTCCCTTGGTCGACGACAGCACCTCAGCGATCCCCTGCAGCTCGACGAAGCCCGTCGAGCAGCTCCCTCACTACGTACGGTCGGCTGCTTCTCCTGTACATCCGACCAGGACGTCGGCATCACCCAAGCGAGGGTGGGACCAACACTTCATTCACGTTAACAACGTCGATCCAAACGATGATGCTGGGCGAGGCCAATCGGGGCGCCTCGTGCACACCATCGAGAACCTCGAGTGCTGCGCGTACGGCCGCCGCGGCGTCATGGTGCGTGTGCCCGGCGCGCTCGTCGTCGGGCGGCAGTTCATCCCGCCGCCCGGTACGCAGGTAGAGGGCATCACGAGCGGCGGGGCGACGGGGTACAAGGGGCATGGGAAGAAGCTGGGGAGATTCGTAGAGCTTTTTGTGATCGAGCCCGGGGAGGCGTCAGGGTCATACCTGGTGGCGAAGCAGGAGCTGTACGTGCAGAAGTAACGGGGAGCAGGCAGCAGTGTCTGCATGGTTGGAAGTGAAGGAAAACGGATATCTGTTGGGTTGGTTAGGGCAGATGGACCCCTGGCATGCTGGTACTGGGCTGGGTAAAGGGCAGGCCTGGTGGCAGTGGGTGCAGCGGCAAGATTGGTTACCGTGATGCATGCATTGCAAGGAGGGATAGTATGCATGGAGGCCATTTGGATTGAGAATGCTCCATGCTATGTTCATCAATGGAGTAACATACAACAATTGAGCAACTAAGAGTGGTTTGATAGGCACGGAGAGAGGGAAGCTAGATAGGCTGTGGAGGCATCGTCATGCTTGGTCTGCAGTGATGCCCTTATTCCATACGGTGGTGACTTATCAGTGGTGGAAGAGTCAAACACATGGGGACATGTTGATCCATTTTGCGTGGTGGACATAGCAGCAACGATACGTTTGTCATCCACTCTGAGTGGCATTGTACGGCACAAATAAAACGAGATTATTGCAACAGTCAACCGCCCCCCCCACCCCCTTCCTCCTGGTTCCTTGCCCGATCGCACATCCACCCTCGGTGTTGCAAGGCATCATCAGTTACTGTCACGAGGTCCATTTACAAGCCAAGTCTCATGACCAGTAACCATTTAAGAAGGCCTTTCCCTCCTGCTCACAACTTCCATGCCTGTTCCGGCACCAACGCAGTTTCTCGTCGGCACCACGCTAGATCTGGGGGTGCTACCGCTGTAGTGCCGGCTCAGGGGGGTGCTGGATGCTGACGCTGGAAGTGCTAATTTTTTGTGTTGCCGCAGGAAGTACTGGTATTGGGGGTGCCACGAGCGCATGATGTCCGGCGCCGCAGCAGCCGCAACCGTTGCCGCAGCAGCAGCCGTTGCCGCAGCAGCAGTCGCTGTCGCCACCGCCGCCTGTATCTGCACTTCGCCTTCTTGGATTTTCTTCTGCCGCGGGCGCGTGACGTCCGGCACCGCACCAGCCGCAACCGTTGCCGCATTTGTAGCCGTCGTCGCCGTCGTCGCCGTCGCCGTCTATATGTGCACTTTTTCTTCTTGGTCTTTCTTCAGTCACGGGCATGGGACATCCGGCGTTGCAGCAGCTGAGACGTTGCGGCTGCCACCTGTGTCTGCACTTTGCCTTCTTGGTCTTTCCTCTGGCTCGCTTGACCGACCACCGGCTCCTCCCCCACCGTCTCTCCCAGTTTTTGGTCCCACGTTTTCTCCCCGGGTCTCGTCTCCGGCTCTTCTTCCTCTGCGTTCACAGCTGTCTCTTCCTCCCCTCCCACGACTGGGTCCGTCGTCCCTCTCCTGCTCGCTCCGTCTCTCCCATTCCTAGCGTCCACTCTATGCTCCTCCGTTTTCGCGTCTCTCGTGCTCCGCCACCCGCTGTTTTCCCGTCACCTCCATCGCCCCTTGCTGTCTCCTCTCCTCCGTTCTCTGGCTCCCTTTACAGTCTCCTGTGTCCTTTCCTCCCTCGTTACCGACCCCACTGCTCCTCCTCCGCCCATCTTTGCTCTTGTCGCCGCTGTAGCTGACCTTGCCTCTATCCGCTGCCTTGAGTACGCCACTAAGTTGGTCTATGAAGGCCAAAGAGATATTCAGTAGGTATAGAAGCCAAAGAGCGTTATTGGGGGATGGATTCCAAAGAGTGTTAGGCTCTCACAGATATGCCATGTAAATTTAAAATGGGTGATAGGGGAGGGAGGGGTGAAACCAAGAAGAGCAAAACATTGCCTCAGCAGAGGATTGAACTCTGGACCTTTCGCTTACGAAGCGAACGCACTACCACTGTGCTACTGGGGCTGTGTATTTTAGAAGATGAGAATTGTCAAATCTTTTTTGGTTAGACTGGCTGGTCAATGGCAATTCAGCTTGAAAGCGTGAATGGTAAGAAGCTTCGTCAAAACAGTAGTGAGCTCATAAGCCGGTTTACTTTCGCGACAAATAGCCTGTAGAAACTTGGTCGAAAGTTGGGCGTGCCGATCTCACATGCCCTTACTTCACAAGCAATGAACTGGCCTGCCATGATATCTCACAATTTAATATACTTTGTGGCTAAGAATAAAAAACGACCGCTCATTTCTACATGCCTAAAATCATTGCGGGGCGAAGAGGCCAGCAACAAAGAGGCAGAGGAATAGCGCCCAGACAGGGACAGAGTCGAACGGCAGAGTGAGGAGCGAGAGCACAGAGGACGGCAGTGGCTGCGGCGGTGCTCCGTGCCTTGCCACTGGCCACGTGGGGTCTGTTACCTGCCGACAGGAGTGTGAGTGAAGCAATGAGGATGGAAGGAAGCAGGGAGGGAGTGGGAGGAGCGAGAGCACTGAGGACAGCAGTGGCTGCGGTGATGCTTCGTGCCTTGCCACTTTCCATGTGGGGTATGTTACCTGTCAGAGGGAGTGTGGGTGAGGCAATGGAGATGGGAGGAGTGTGGGTGAGGCAATGGAGATGGAAGGAGGAGTGTGGGTGAGGCAATGGAGATGGAAGGAGGAGTGTGGGTGAGGCAATGGAGATGGGAGGAGTGTGGGTGAGGCAATGGAGATGGAAGGAGGGGTGTGGGTGAGGCAATGGAGCAGAGAGAGGCTGGAAGGCAGTGGCTGCGGTGGTGTTCTGTGCCTTGCCACTGGCCATGCGGGGCCTGTCACCTGTCAGGCGAGTGTGAGATAATGGGGATGGAGGTGGGGAAATGGGGATGGAGGTGGGGAAATGGGGATGGAGGTGGGGGGATGGAGGTGGGGAAATGGGGATGGAGGTGGGGAAATGGGGATGGAGGTGGGGAAATGGGGATGGAGGTGGGGAAATGGGGATGGAGGTGGGGGGATGGAGGTGGGGAAATGGGGATGGAGGTGGGGAAATGGGGATGGAGGTGGGGAAATGGGGATGGAGGTGGGGAAATGGGGATGGAGGTGGGGAAATGGGGATGGAGGTGGGGGGATGGAGGTGGGGAAATGGGGATGGAGGTGGGGAAATGGGGATGGAGGTGGGGAAATGGGGATGGAGGTGGGGGGATGGAGGTGGGGAAATGGGGATGGAGGTGGGGAAATGGGGATGGAGGTGGGGAAATGGGGATGGAGGTGGGGAAATGGGGATGGAGGTGGGGAAATGGGGATGGAGGTGGGGAAATGGGGATGGAGGTGGGGAAATGGGGATGGAGGTGGGGAAATGGGGATGGAGGTGGGGAAATGGGGATGGAGGTGAAGCAATGGGATGGAAGGAAGCAATGGGATGGAAGGAAGCAATGGGATGGAAGGAAGCAATGGGATGGAAGGAAGCAATGGGATGGAAGGAAGCAATGGGATGGAAGGAAGCAATGGGATGGAAGGAAGCAATGGGATGGAAGGAAGCACGGAGAGACTGAGAAGGAAGAGCGCTGGGAGGAAGGCAGCTGCTGTGGTGATGTGATGCTCCATGCCTTGCCACCACCCCCACACGTGATGTGATGCTCCATGCCTTGCCACCACCCCCACATGTGAGAAATGAGTAGATCCCGATTCCCAAGAGTGAAAAAGCTGTTGGGAAAGGATTAGTGGTAGGAACAAGCCACCCCTGGTCGTTATCAGCTCATGTAATTGGTGTTTTAAGTCATATTTTCCCTGCTGGTCCCTTTTATCCACCACCTGCTACCTGTCACCGCTGCTGCTCCTTCTCCTCTGCTTACGATTGTAGTTACTATCACCCTACCTTGACTGGCGGTTTCCTGGGCACAGACTGCATGTGCCACGCGTTGGGGAAGAGCAATCAAGGCACTTAGCTGACCTTTGAGTCCACCTACTGCATATGCACCACAGAAGCTGCAGCTGCTGCTGTCATATCGCCCTACCTTGACTGGCGGTTTCCTGGGCACAGACTGCATGTGCCACGCGTTGGGGAAGAGCAATCAAGGCACCCAGCTGACCTTTGAGTCCACCTACTGCATATGCACCGCAGAAGCTGCAGCTGCTGCTGTCATATCGCCCTACCTTGACTGGCGGTTTCCTGGGCACAGACTGCATGTGCCACGCGTTGGGAAGAGTAATCAAGGCACCCAGCTGACTTTTAATAAAGCTGAGGTGAGTTTCGATTGAGCTGAGGTGACTTTGGAGTTGACTGAAAAGTTGCCATTGTGGCTACCTCTGCCCTACCTTCACTGGCGGTTTCCTGGGCACGGACTGCATGTGCCACGCGTTGGGGAATAGAAATCGAGGCACCCAGCTGGTGGGTGGGGGGGTGTGGCAGGCACGAGGGGTGGGAGGGGTGGCAATGGAAGAGGGGGGGGGAGAGATGCAGACGGTGGAAGCGAGGGAGACTAAGTGAGAGCAGAGAATTGCCAGGTTGGGGACGAGAGGGCTGACTGAGTCGACTCAAAAGACGGTTAAACGATGGTGAGGACAGGAGGGGTCGAGCAGAAAAGCATGTGTTTTATAGCAGGGAAGGGGTGAAGTGGGCCCCTTTCCCAACCTTCTCACCTCACTCTCCCTCCACGGACCTCACCTCTCTCGCCCTGAAGCGGATCGAATGCCGCACTGATCCAGGGTGGAGCGTTCATCCAGCTGTCAGAGGAAGAGACAGGTACAAAGCGGTGGAGAGTGGTTGAGAGCAATGTGGTGTGATGAATAGAGGAGCGCATCGAATGCCGCACTGATCCAGAGTGGAGCGCTCATCCAGCCGAAAACGGCAGGCATGGAAGGGAGGAGCAAAGCGGTGGAGAGTGGTTGTGATGTGATGAGCAGAGGAGCACATCAAATGCCGCACTGCTCCAGAGTGGAGCGCTCATCCAGCTGCAAAAGGCACACAGCGAGAGGGTGCACAGCGGTGGGGACTGATTTGAAGTGGTTCAAGGAGTGGTGACAGAGTGTGAAACCGGATCGTATGGAATCCTAGTCATACGAACTGGTAGAAGGGTATAGAGAGGTTGAGAAATAAACAGCGAGTTAGGGAGATGATGATCAGCCATTCAGCTGAGAAATAAGCTAAGGAACGAACAGCAGCGGGTAGAGAAGAGGGTGTGGTCGTTCAAGCAAGAGGGCTGGTGCTCATTCAATTCCACAAGCTAGTCATCCACTCGTGCTCGAGTACTTTCACACATTGGATTGGAGAAATCCGGCAATCCACGGTTGGATTTCACATCACACCCTAACCCTAGTTCCTTCAGCACGACTCCTAATTTAAGGAAACCCTGAACGCTGAACATGTTTAATCAAGACAAAAATCAAACATATTCAGCCGAACATTTTTGGCAAAAAAACAAAAAAACAAAAAAAAATGTATATTCTGTTCGTCTCGAACTTGTGTTTTTGCTCATGTCTACACACAGATAGTGTACTTACCTCCACCCCGTTAAACACAAGCGATGCAGTCCCCCCTGCTGCCAGCGCCACGCCCTGATCTCGCAACACCTGCTGCGCCACCCCCCCTGCTGTCTCCTCCCGCCCCGCATTCACTCGCACCAGCTCACATGCTCGGCTGGGACCGGGGAGAGAGTGGGGTGAAAAAAGCAGGAGAGAGAGAGGGACGGGGGAAGGTTGAGTCGATTGTATAGGCCTCCTCCCGCCCCGCATTCACTCGCACCAGCTCACATGCTCGGCTGGGACCGGGGAGAGAGTGGGGAGAGAGGAGGGGGGTTTCGGGAGGTTGGATTGGTTTAGAGAACAGCAGCGAAGGGAGGTGAGCATTGGGTTGACATCACAGATACCCTACCGCCCAGCACTCACTCGCACCAGCTCAGATATTTGGCTGGGACCGGGCAGAGAGAAAGGGGGGGTGGAAGAGAAGAAGAGGGAGGTGGTGGAATACGGGGGTGCAGTGCAGCTGATGCAGAGAGCAGCAGCGAAGGGAGGTGAGCATTGGGTTGACAGTACGGGCTTTTTACGATCTTGAACCGGGTTCAACTCATTCACACCAGCTCAAATGCTTGGCTGCTCGGTTGATATTCGCAGTCCTTCAATGGCTCCTCAGCCTCTTCATCCATTCTCCTTTTGTCCTGTCGCCATTCATGAGATCCTGTCGCCATTCACAAGATCCTGTCGCCATTCACGAGATCCTGTCGCCATTCACAAGATCCTGTCGCCGCCCCCAATACGTGTCCCCTCGTCCACCTCACCCGCTCTCACTTGCTCACAATCAACAATAACCCCCTCCTCTCCCGCCCCACACACATATGATTGAACTCTGATTCAAATATCCTCGCCTTTACCTTACCGTCCTGAACAGCCAACCCTAACTTGATACTCACGAATGTGCCAGTATGAGTTGCTATAATACAAGTACAAGGCTCAATACAACTTCCTATCAGATCCTTAACCCTAGCGAGCGCTATCCCTACCGTCCCCCCCATCTTCCCCTTCCCATCTGTCCGCCATCAGCAGCAGCACTTCCACCTCCTGCGGTTATTACACTGAGTTGCTTTTTCTAATCCTAACCCTAACCCCACCGCACCTGTCCGCCACACTAGTACTTGCCTTACAATTTCCCCCACCCTCACCGCACCTGTCCGCCATCAGCAGCAGCACTTCCACCTCCTGCCCGCCTGAATCGCGCGCCATCGCCTTGCGCCGCCTTGCGTCTTCTGCCTTGCGCCTTGCGGCATGCGGCTTGCGGTGCGGCTTGCGCGCCTTCCGCCACACGGCGTGCTCGCGCCTTGGCCAGCCCTCAAGCCCCCTCCCTGCCTTCCGCTCGCTCAGCTTCCGCACAGCCTGTGCCCCTTGAGCGCAAAAGTGCACCTTCCTTTTCCGCTTTCCGCCGCTGCGCCCGACGCCAGAAATGCCCGGGACCCGAGGCCCCTCCGCCGCTGCTTCTCCTCAGCTTGCGCAGCTTGCGCAACTCGCGCACCTTACGCGCTTGACCTAAACTAGCCAGCGGGGCTGCTACATCAGTCGCAGGCCACGCTCCCCACTAACCTTGGATTGATGGGACGCGTGCGCTGCAGGTTACGGTCACATTTGACACCTGCTGATAATGTTTTACACTCGAGTGCATTCACCTTGTGTCGAGTTTATGCAAAAACGGGGAAACACAACATTTTTTTTTTTTTTTTTTTGATACGGAAAGGTACAATAAAAGGATAATGTACAAAACGCATCAGGCAGTCGTAACTGTGTCTGGAGGGAAGAGCCACAGTAGCATGTACCGTAGATTCCCTATATCGAGCCTACGGTGGTCGGTTGGTCATCCTCGGATCATTCCAGATGGAGCTGAAGCTACTTCTCCACGACAGCGGTGCCCCCTTGCTGCATATGCGTCTCATCACCTCCGCCTCGTCTGCTGCCAGGTAATCCCAGTTGCCAGCGCCAACCGCCACCCCATGCTTCCGCGCTGCCATTTGCCTTGCCAGGCAGTACACCCTGGCGTGCGCGACAAACTTCACCACCGCCAGGCGTATTACTTTCTTCGGTTGTAATTTCACCCCACAACGGCTTGCGTCACACCTTGCCAACCAAACCTGGTGAAGTGTGGTGGCGATAAACGAACTTTCCGGAAAGCCAGACTTCGTGCCCCTCTGCATGAAGAGGAGGTCCTCCAGACCCTGCCAGTTCAGCTGCGGATTCATCTCAGCCAGCCCTTTCCTCAAGAAACGGACTACCCTCTGAATCGCCGGGCAGCTGAGCAGGCAATGCTCCGGTGTCTCCTCTGCTTTGCAGTGTGGGCAAACCACTCTATCCTTCATGAAGAAAAGTCGTTCCCCCACTTGTAGGTTCCTACAGTGCAGCCTCAGCAGAACTTCTCGTGCCCGGGCAGGGGTGGCAAGAGAGTCCCTCTGCCTGATGACCCTCTCCCATTCAATAACCCTACCATCACCAATCCACCTCCGCTGCTCCTTTACGACGCCTGCTGAGGTTACTAGCTCCTTCCTAATTCCCTTCAGTGCCAGAATCTCCCCGTCCTTGGTTAGTTTAGACTGTAGCAGCTTCGTTCGTGCCTCACCCATAAGCCCCAGCACCTAATCTCCCTGTGCTGCTACCGGCTCCCCGCTGTGCAGCCCAAAGTTTACAGGGTACTTCCCATCCCCGACTGTGAAGGTGCCGTCATCGCTTTCCCGGCACGACACTCCCGCCACTCTGCCGCTGGCGGCGCCGCTGACCTTCCAGAGCGTAGGGGGCGCTAAGATACTCCCCTGATACCGCAGCAGCGGAACTTTGGCCACGAACTCCTCGCTTGTCAGCGTTGCCAGCACCATGTCTCTCCACCCAGCTGGCGCCGCCATGAAAGCTTTCAGCGCCAATTTCGCCGCATCAACACTTCCGAGCTCGCTCGTCAGAGTTTTCACACATTTTAGCTCCCGTGAACCATCCGCCCGACGCCAGATCAGATCGCCCATTGTTACACCCAATAGCCGTGTCGAGCCTTGTTGATTCCCGAACGGGCTGGCCCCCCTGAAAGGTATACATCTGTTAAACGCCAACTGCTCCCGTTCCACCTCCCAACGATTACTTGGCTCTGGGGTGACGCAGAAAGGTGACTTCTAGAAGGCTTGCGTCATGTCCTTCTAGCACTTACTACCCTCCTTCCAGTGTCTCAGCAGGGACTGATGAGCATAGATTGTGTCCGGTCCCAGAGGCATCGCCGCCGCCCGCTCCGTCAGCCACCTCTTAACGGGGTTTGTTTGCAGCATCATACGGCCAACATTCTGCACCGCTATGCTGTCGAAACGCTTCTTGGGGCAGATCATCCCCAACCCTCCTTCTTCGCGGGGCGTGCAGATCAGCTCGTAGTTCCAGAGGATGAAAGCCTTCCCCTCCGTCGCCTCCCCCCCAGACACGAAGTGATGACAGATCCGCTTGATTTTCGTCCAGATCTCCTCCGGCGGCGGGTAAATATACGCCTGGAACATGAAGATTGGCGATATGTATCCATTGATTATCGTGACCCTTGCTGATGTCGTTAAGTGCTGAATCTCCCATTTGGCTAATTCTTTCCGCGCCCTGTCCAAAGCTTTCTCCCAGGACGGAAGCGGGTCACCGTTCGGAGTGATCCAGACGCCGAGCAGCCTCTCCGGTGCCGCCGTGTCCGCCCATTTGAACTGCAGGTCTGTCGGCGGAGGCTTCCCCCTGTTATCCCCGAATGGAAAGACCACCGTCTTGTCTTTATTCACTTTCAGCCCTGATGCATTCCCGAAGTTTTCCAGCGCTTCAGCCGCTGCGGCCAGCTGCTCTTCTCCCTGCAGCACCAGCGACGTGTCGTCAGCGTACCCCAAGTACGCCAGCTTCGCTGCTCCTTCGTCACCCACTCCCAGCCGACGTTTCGCAATGTCTTGACAAAGCGGCTCCACCGCGCACAAGAAGAGGTACGGTGCTAGCGGGCATCCTTGACGCACCCCTCTCTCCACCGCGACCCTCTCTCCTGTCCATCCGTTGATGTGCAGTCTTGTACCTGCTCCTGTGTGCAGGCCCTCCGCCCAGGATACGAACTGCTCCGGGACCCCCATCCCTCTCAGCGTTCGGAAAAGGAAAGGCCTCGAGATGGAGTCAAAAGCCTTCTGAAAGTCGACCATCAGAAGGTACCAGTCCTTCCCGTCGTTTGCGCCCGCCTCAATAGCGTCCGCAACCACCGCAACGGCGTCCGCCAGTCTCCGACCAGGTAGGAACCCCGCTTGGTCTTCCGAAATCACCTCGTGCAGAACTTTCTTTAGCCTTGAGGCCATCACTTTCGCCAACACCTTGTAAACCGTGCTTAGTAGCGTAATAGGCCTGTAATTCCCTAACTCCTCCCTGCTCCCCTTTTTGTGCAGCAGAATTGTGACCGCAGTTGAGACTTCTCGTGGTAGCTCTGCCGTCCGCGTGAAGCTTTCTATGAACTGCATCAGCACCGGCCCAAGCAAGTCCCAGTTGTGTTCGAACAACTCCTTGGGAAGACCGTCTTGCCCCGGCGACTTCCCCGGAGCCAGCTCGCGCACCGCTGCCCTGACTTCCTCCTCCGACCATGGCGCGCCAAGGGCACAGCGGCTCGCGTCACACAGCGTCCGGTCCATAGCCAGCGGCTCCGTCCCGTGGGAATCAGTTACTCCGCCGCCATCGAAGGAATCCCTGAAGTACTCCGTTGCCGCCGTCAGCACTTCTCTTGCTCCAGAGTGGGTATCGCCCTTGTAGTGAACAGATTTCATTTCCGTTTTCGCCTTTCGCACCTTTATCTTCCCGGACAGGAATCCAGTTGTCGCTTCCCCGTCTAGCTCCGCCTTCAACCCCAGCCACTCCTGCAGCTTCTCTTGGTGACTCTTCTCATACACGTTGAGCAGCTCCTCTTTTTTGAGCAGGATCGCACCCGTCCGCTGACACTGCGGGTTCTGTGACAGGCGCTGGCGGTAAACCTTCACTTCTTTCTCCAGGTATTTCATGGTTGCCCCGACTCTCTTCCTTTCCTCCCTTGTATATTCACGCAGGCACGCCGACAACCTTGGTAACATCACTCCAAGATCACCATCCGCGTCCATGATCACCTTCTCCACACGGCTTCTGACCCCTCTCTTCTTTGCCTGTACCGCCCTTAACCGCCAGATTCCGGGACCTCTCTCGATCGCCGCCGACGATTCCAACGCAACCACCACAGCGCTCCAATGATCCGTCATCTTGTTTGTAATATCCGCGTGCCGAACATCCACCAGCTTGCACAACAGCGACTGCGACACCAGCGCGCGGTCAATCCTGGTGCTCACCCCCTTTGCCCTCATGTGAAAAGTATATTCCCTCTTGCCAGGGTGCATAAAGCGGAACGCATCAGTGAGCGGGGAGTTCGCCCAATAGCTCAACAGCCTCCGGTTTTCCGCCGACGACCCCGCACCTGACGACTTGTCTAGCGCCGGGTCCTCCACCACGTTCATGTCTCCCATCACCATGACGTTACATAGACTTGGTAAGGTGCGCAGAAAAGGCTCCAAGCAGTCCCGGTAAAAAGGGGCCCTGTTCTCCGGTTGCGCCGGTGAGTACAACGCAACAAGGAGCAGCTCCAGATCCCCCCAGCGGACCACCACCGCCACCAATCTTCCTGATGCATGTGTGTACGTGTCCGTGAAGACCATCCCAGGCACAAAGCTCACCACCGCTACCCCTCCTGCCGACCCAGCTGGCCCCACGGCCACCACCGCGGCCGGCTTCATTTGAGTCCAGAAGTTATGATCAGCCTGAATTCGTGTGACTGTGAGTATCGCGATATCCACTTTGTTCCTTAGCCAGTTCTTGCACTTTTCCTGCTTCCCTGCGCTGCCGAGCCCGTTGATGTTGAGCTCGCAAAACCGGATTGAGTTCTTCTTATTCATTTAAAACCAGGTGAGAAGCCCCTTCGCATCCACGGGCTGGGAACTGAAACAAGACTCCTGGCGCACACGCGCCGCTGTCACCGGCCGCACCATAGAACTGCACAACATAGACACTATCACTACTGATACCACGGCCATAACTGAGGCGCAAACTACACTGCCATCTTCTTTCTCTCCATAATCCTGCAGATGCATAACCCCGGGACTGCGGCGACCAGGCGGTTACTTGGCGAACTCCTTGCGGAACGCACCCAGGGTGAGAGCACCCTTGCTGGCGCGCGTAGCAGCACCTGGCGTGGACAGGTTCGTCTTGTGGCGGAGTGATGCAACGTGAGTCGATGCATGCTCGAAACTGGCACCCTGCGCCTTGTCGCAGGCGGCGACCACACACACCCAGTCTTCCCGCGACCCCCCTGTGGAGGTGAGAACGATAGCTGGGTCCTTGAGAATGTCTTTCGTTAACGATGTAACTTTCAGCGAAGCAGCTGCGAGGAGGGGGTTGAGCCGGGACGTCAGTAAAAGCCGAAGGAAAAAACTGGAGCGACAAAGGTGAGAAAAACGTGACACTGATACCGTTGATCGCATGAACCTTTGCGATAGTTAAGGTCCATTTGCCGATGCTGGATTGACGCTCTGTGACGTAAGCGTTGTGATACTGCGTCTGATGCTTACCCTTATAGTAACCGCAGGTGAGTGCAGGATAGTTAACCATCAGCTTCCTTCCAGGGTTCGTCAAATCCGCAACCATATGACGCCATGGGTCATCATCATTGTCATGCTCGATCACCAAACCGCGGATCTTGTCAGTGTCGATACCAGTAACCGGATCTTGCACTCTGTGAAAAGCCACACCTTTGCTGAACGCAGGTTTGCCCTTCTTGAGCAGCACAACCTCCGTCAGCATCTTACGGACCAGCTCAGGTGAGACGCCAGCCGGTACAGACTTCAACAACACCTCCACCGCATCTGGATTCTGCTGACGCTCCTTCTTGTAAGTCGCGTTCTCCGGATGCTGCCAGTTGAGCTTCAGCGTAACACCCTTCCCCACATCATGCTCAATGGTGCGTTGCCAGACCGAAACCGCGTCACTCGCGTGCAGAAATGTCACTTGAAGCCGACCAAATCTCTTCTTTGACAGCCACGCCGGCAGCATCTCCTGGTACGTCGTAGTCGTCTGCGCGTCAGGCGTCAGCGAAGCCTTCCAGTGATCCAGGTGCGCAATGACCGTTGGCTTCAACTTCGAGACCTCACTCTCCCACTGAATGGGGATCAGAAGCGTAAGCGAGAAGCTGACTTGGGACGCGAGCAGGCTGACCGCAGCTGGATCGAACACATCCTCGTCATCGCTGTCCCAGCATTCATCCTCATCCACGTCAATGTTGCAGCCCTCAGCCGTCACCGCAGGTGTCACTGTCACGGGAGCCGACGGTCCACCCGCTGACGAGCTCGGTTGCGGTTGCTGCTTCTCATTTTCCTCCGCATTGTCCTTAAGCCCGTTGCCCTTCAGAGCTGACAACCGCTCTTGCAGAGAGATCTTCGCCGCCTCACTCAGCAAATCGTTGACCGCCGGAGCAAGGGGAGCTTGGGGTGAAGCTTGCGCCGACAGCAGAGGGCTCTTCTCTGGAGAATGCTCCGTACTGGATAAAGGGGTGTTGCCAGCAGTATCAATAACCTTTCCTCCAGCCTTTCCACCACCCCGTCCATTGCGTCGACCTCCCGCCATTGTGCAATGATGATAACGGCGGAACAAGCTTGAACTGAAGCTTGATAAGAAACCTCCTCTGAGCACGAATATGAAAACCACCTTCGTGTGTCCTTTGCTTAAGTAGTTTGTATCATCCTTATCGCGTGCAGAGCTTGTGCCTTGATCCGTTGAGCCAAAACCGGTAAAAGTTGACGATCCCAAGGAACATGATAAGTGAAATCTTAAATCTGGCGGAACAGGATCCAGTAACCAATCCAAAACGGGCTCTGTGAAACCAAGGCGCCATGAGACTACCGAGAAGCTTGATAAGACAAGACCCTTGATAGTTCCTGCAACTAGGCAAGATTCACCAATGTTCACTGTATGAACACAAAAAAGGTATCCTCTTAAAGCGCTAGTTGAGCTGAACACTAAGGTCTGTTGCAATGTGTCATCAGGCTGGAAATTGGTAGACATTGGGCTTGCCGAAGTTAAAGCAGGAGCCATGGCGGAGAGATCGGAGTAACAGTTCGTTACTACTACTCTCAGTCTTGAAAAATCGTCTCAGGCGAGGCGGATGAGGCAAAGTGAGTGTATTTGGTTATATTGGGGAAACACAACATATGTGACAGCACCAAAGGAATCGACAAGATAAGTCTCAATAAAATACAAGCCTCTCATAACCCGGAAACTCACTCACATAGGAATTTTACCACGTGTGATTGGCATTGACTGATCCCTCCATTCTACAAAACAGTGCACTATCTATTTTTTAGTTGACTGTGGTAACTCATTCTATGTCAGCCAAATGTTAGCTCTTCAACCCTAGCACTACTCTTTATCGAATCAAACCCGCTATCACATTTTGTTCCAGATAAATCCCTAGCACTATGCTCCAAAGCCCTAGAGAAACCCCAACGGGCTAGTTCGAGAGTCGGACCCTCGCTGTCAGCTGACTGGGCAGTTTCCCGACCTTTTAGCGCACCAGAACTTGCGCCGATCAGCGGCCTGATTGGTCGAGCGCGCTGGCGCGGACAAAGAAGGCCGCGGGGAAAGCCCCGCACACGGGGAATGCTGGAAACGCGGGGAGTGCGGGGAATGCCAGGAAAGCAAATGCGGGGAAAACGGGGAAGGGAGGTACTCGATCGGGGGGAGTGAGCGCAGGAGGGATGCGGAGGAGCACTAGAGGCGGGGCGCGGGGCGGGAACACTGTGGGGGAAATTGGCGCGACGGGGGGAATTGGGAAGAAGCGGAAGCGCGGGGGGGGCAGCACGGAAGGCGGGCGGAGGGCGGGCGGGCAGCGCAGTGGGCGCGCGCAAGGGGGGCGTAAATGGCGCGGAAGGGGGGAGCGGTGGGCGGAAGGGCGCGCAAGGAGGGAGCGGTGTGGGGAAGGGCGCGCTGGGGCAGGGAGTGGGCGCGGGGGGAACAAAGAGGGATGCGGAAACGGGAAAGGGGAAGGCGGAGAAAGGTGGCGTGATCGGGGGAGAGGAAGGGCAAAAGGTAGCAGAGGGGAGGGGGGAAGGTGTGGTGACGGCGGGGAAAGAGGGTGAGGGGGACCTGAGAGGGGTAAGGGGAGAGGGGGAGGTGAAGACGCCTGGGTTGATGGGAGAAACGGAGTCAGATGGGGCAGATGAAAGGGAGGGCACAGATGGAGGAGAAGAGGCAGAAGGGGGAGAGGCGGGCAAGGATGGACAGGAGGTGGGGAGAGAGGAGGGAGGAAGGGTGGTGGTGGTGAGTGACGTGAGTGGGGAGGAGGGCAGCAGCGGGGGCGAGGGCAGCGGCAGCGGGTCGTTGGGTTTAGACTCGGGATCAGATGGGGGGGAGGAGCGGTCGGATGATGGCAGTGACGCTGTGAGGATGGGGGAGGAGAGTGGTGCGAGTGAGAGTGAGAGTGAGAGTGGGGGGAGTGAGAGTGATAGTGAGGAAAATGACAATGAAGGGAGTGAGAGTGAGGGGAGCGAGAGTGAGGATGAGGAGGAAATGGAGGAGGGAGAGGAGAGGGGTGGCAGCGAGACAGACGAGGGGCAAGAGGCGGATGGGGCGGGGATAGGCGCGGGTGGAGAGGAGTGGTTCCGCCACGTGGTGGCGGACGCGGAGGGGGAGGCGGAGGGAGAGGGCGCAGAGGGGGGAGGCGCAGGCACCAAGACAGTGCTGAATGCGGGAGCAGCGACTGCAAAGGCTAGGAAACGAGCACTGAAGGCCGAACAGAAGGAGCGAGAGGAGAAGCTAGGGAAGGCTAAAGCAGGCTCGCTGAGAGCGAGGGAGAGAAGGGCGGAGGAGAGGCGGCGGCGGGCGGAGAGAGAGCGGTTGCGGGTGGAGAAAGAGCGGTTTGAGGCGGAGCAGAGGGATGCAAAGCGGCGGAGAGTGGTGCGGGAACAGGAGGCGGCGCAGGAGAGGCGCGAGGAGAAGCAGGAGCGGCGCGTGCAGGGCATGCAGAAGGCTCTGCTGAAGCTGCTCAAGAAGCTGGCCGCTGGTGGCAGGGGAGCAGGCGGTGTGGGGGGAGCGGGCGGCGGGGAGAAGGGTGGCGGGGAGAAGGGTGGCGGGGAGAAGGGTGGTGAGGGTCCGGAGTGGGAGGTGGTGAGTCGCGTGCATGCGATGGCGCATGGTGTGGCGGATGGGAACATGGAGAAGGTGGTTCTGGGGGAGGGCGGCACCAAGGGCACGGGCACTCAGAGGCTGCCGCTGCAAGCCAGGATCCAAGTGAACGCGTGAGTGGTGGTGGTGGGTGCACGTGTGAGTGGTGGTGGTGGGTGCGCGTGTGACCGGCTGTTGCAGGGAAAATGTGATTTGGGCAAGCATAGCAGCAGGAAGAACACTCCGTGGCTAGACCGCACGGTCCTGGCCATCCTGCGTCCTGCATGATCTCTGTTCCCACACTCGTTCCTTCACATGCAACACCTGTTGCGCCCTTCATTAGTCCATCCATGCCTCACCCTCCTTCTGAATCTCGCCCCACCGCACAGCACCGCTCGCTCCGCCACGGCCATTCTCTTCCCGGACGAGGCAGTGGTGGTGGAGGGGCACGTGCACGTCACACTGCTGCACGGCGCTGCCTCCCTGCACGGCTTCGCCCTGCCCCTGTACCGCCCCACTGCCCTCTCTGCTGACTCCACCCTCTCTTCCGCCGTGCTGCTCCATGTCGCCCCGCCTGCCCAACATGGCCCCCCTGTTGCCCCTCCTACCGCTGCTGCTCCTGGTTCTGCTCCTGCGGGTGGTGCTGCTGCTGTGAGTGTGGGTGCTGCTGCAGCTTCTGAGCCTGCTGCCGCTGCACAAACTGCAGTGGCTGCAGTGACCGGTGAGGCGGGGGCTGGTGCTGCGGACGCATCACAGGGAGGGAAGGGAGGGGAAAGGGTGGCGGCGGCAGTTGAGAAGGGCGGGGGAGGGGTGGAAGCAGGGGCAGGGGGGAAGGGCGCGAAGCTGACGAAGAAGCAGAAGAAAGAGGCGGCGAAGGCAGCAGCAGAGGCGGAGGCGGAGAGGAAACGGCGGGAGAAGGCGGAGCGGGGGTGGCGCACAGACGTGCAGGGCATGGCTGTGGTGCTCTTCCAGTCCTGGGGGCCCGGGCAGCTGGGGTTGGGTGCGGTGGAGGAGGGTGCAGTGGGGGATGGTGTGGTGGGGAGTGGTGGAGTGGAGCAAGGGAAGAATGGGAGGAAGGGGAAGAAGGGGGGGGCGGTGGGGGGTGGGGGGGTTGAGGATGTGATGGTTGCGACAGAAGCAGTGAAGGATTGGAGAGTCACGGCCAACTTCACATTCCGGCTGCTGGTGAGCGGGAGGGAGGGCGGTTGGTGAGAGGGAGGGCGGGTGGTGAGAGTGGGAGAATGGTGAGAGTGGGAGAGTGGTGAGAGTGGGAGAGTGGTGAGAGTGGGAGAATGGTGAGTGTAAGAGAGTGGTGAGAGAGGAAGGAGAGAGTGGGAGAGTGGTGAGAGTGGGGGAGTGGTGAGAGAGGAGGGCGACAGTGAGAGAGAGGGAGAGTGGTGAGAGAGGAGGGTGACAGTGGGATGGTGGGAAAACGTGTTCTTGGTGGGGGAACGTGGCTCCTGTTGGGAGGAGGGCGGTGGTGTGGTGGGATAGTGGGGTGATGATTTGTCACCACCATGCCCCATACCAACGTCGGCACCCCTTCTCATCGCCCGGCCGTTCTCCTTGTTGCCCTCTAGTGCTGCTCTCTTCCTCCATATCCCACCTCTTGCCACTGCTGAGGCTGAGAGATGTGGGGTGACTAAGAAAGTCACTCCCGGTGGTCTTTCTCTGCGCCCTGCACTCACCACCTGCACATTCACTGTGTGCCCTCCCTCCGCCCCTTCCACTCCTTCCCAACCTGGCCCCCACCTGCCCCCCTACCTGCCCCCCCACCTGGACCCCACCCCACTCCCCCAGGAGCCGAGCACGCCCCTACTGAGGCTGAGAGATGTGGGGCGGCTGAGAAAACCGCTGCAGGCGGCCTTTCTGTGTGGCCTGAACACTCACAGGGTGGCCCCCCGGGGGCATGGGCAGGGCGGGCAGGGGCTGGGGGGAGGGGGGGGTGGGGGGAGAGCCAGGGGGAAAAAGGGGGGGAAGCGGTATGAGGGGGACCGTGGGGCTTGGGAGGCGTTCTCTTGGACCCCGCCCAAGGGGAAGAAAGGGGGTGGGGGGGGGAGGGGGAGGGGGTGGGGGAGGAGGAGGGGGAGGAGGGGGAGGGGGAGGCGGAGGGGGAGATGGAGGGGGAGGGGGAGGCGGAGGAGGGGAAGGGGGAGAGGGAGGGGAAGGGGGAGGGCAGAAGGCAGCAGGGCCGTGGAGGCAGGAGGGGCGGGTGCTGACGAACTCAGAGATGAAGGGGTGGGAGGCGGTGCGGTGCGATGTGGTGAGCCGCGAGTGGGAGGAGGCGGGGAGGAAGCGGAGCAAGAGGCGGGCGCGCGGGGAGGTGCGGGTGCCTATAGTGATGGTGGTGGGGGGCGTGAACACTGGCAAGTCTACGTTTGCCAAGTTCCTAGTCAACCATATGCTGGGCAGGTATGGGTGGTCAACCACATGCTGGGCAGGTATGGGTGGTCAACCACATGCTGGGCAGGTATGGGTGGTCAACCACATGCTGGGCAGGTATGGGTGGTCAACCACATGCTGGGCAGGTATGGGTGGTCAACCACATGCTGGGCAGGTATGGGTGGTCAACCACATTCTGCCCGTTCCCACCATTCCGCTCTCTCCTCTTCCCCTTCACCTTCCCAACCCCCCCTCGCCAGGCACCCCTGTGTGGCCTTCCTGGACACGGACGTGGGTCAGCCTGAGTTCACTCCGCCCGGCCTTGTCTCGCTGCACCTCCTCTCCCACCCCGTCTTCGGTAGGTACTTCTCCTCCTCTCCTCTCCTCTCCTCTCCTCTCCTCTCCTCTCCTCTCCTCTCCGCCACCTCAGATCCATCCCTTCTTCTCCCAGAAACCCGTCCTCTCAGAACCCCCTCCACTCCCCAACCCCACCTTAAACTCCTCTCTGTACGGCGAAATCAGCCCACCTTCGCCTCCTTACCTGCCGCCTCCGTATTCCCTGCCCCCCACTGCCTTCCCTTTCCCCCCCACACTACAGGCCACACAGCTTTGCACCAGCGCACGCCCCTGGCAAGCCACCTGTATGGGGCCATCAGCCCTCCCTGTCCCCAACATCCCATCACCTGCGTGGACGACCCCATGCTCTACCTGCTGCTTGCCCCTCCTTTCCCCCCCACACTACAGGCCACCCTGCACTCCACCAGAGGACCCCCCTAGCAAGCTACCTGTACGGCGACATCAGCCCGCCCTCCCCTCCCTACCCTCCCCACCTCCGTTCCCCCTGCCCCCTTGTTACGTTCCTGCGGTCCCCACACACGACAGGCCACCCTGCGCTGCACCAGCGCACCCCCGTTGCAAGCCACCTGTACGGCGACATCAGCCCCGGCAGTGACCCCGCACTGTATCTGCGGCAGCTCTTCTCGCTCTACGACTGCTTCCGACAGAACTACTATGATGGGCACGGGGCAGCAGCGCTGCCACTGGTGATCAACACCCATGGGTGGATTAAGGGTGAGAATGATCATAGGCATCAAAGGTGCTTACATGGTGATTGGATCCCGGTGTACCTGACCGTCCACTGTACCTGCGGCAGCTCTTTTCTCTCTGCAACTATGTCCGACGGAACTACTACCATGGGCACAGGGCGGCGGCACTGCCACTGGTCATCAACACACACGGGTGGATCAAAGGTGAGTGATTAAAACATATCAATGGTGTCTGGGTTCCGCGCTCCACTGACCCCGCACTGTACCTGCGGCAGCTCTTCTCGCTCTCCTCCCTGCCCTTCCCTCCACACACGTCATCTCTGTACAAACCCCATTTCTCCCTGCTTTCTCCCTGCCCTTCCCCTCTCCCTCCCCACTCCTTGTGCAATACAGACATAGGGTACGACCGCTTGGTCGACCTCATTCCCTACACGGCGCCCACACACGTCATATCTGTCCAAACTGCCCAACCTAGGCTACAGTCCTCTCTTCTTAACCCCTTCCGAGTTTCCTCCCTCCCCTCCCTCTCCCTGCCAAACCTCTCCGCCCATCCCCCAGGCATAGGTTATGACGCTTTAGTGGATCTGATTCGCTACGTGGCCCCCACACACGTCATCTCGCTGCTCGCCCCCGATGCAGCAGACAACCTGCCTGCAGGGCACTTCTGGCAGCCGGGGGGGTTCGCCCCCGAGGACATCAACCCCAACATGACGCCCCTGGGTGGTGTGGGGGGCGGTGGCGAGGGCGCCGGGGGGATGGGGGGGGAGTGGGAGGGGGAGGGGGAGGGGGGCGATGTGGGGGGTGCAGGGGGAGGTGCAGGGGTACAAGATGGGGGAGGGTTTCGTGGGGGAGGAGGAGATGGGGAAAGAGAGGGAGTGGTAGCAGCAGCAGCAGGGCAGGGGGCAGCAGGCCCTCCACCTCCATCCCTCCTCCCCTCCTCGCCTCCCCTCTCCCTCTTCCTCCCAACCCCTCTCTCCCTCCTCCCCTGCCCCCCTCTCCTCCCCCTCCTCATCCCCTTCAGCCACTTCAGGGAGAGAAGGCCCACGTCAATGCTGCTGTTCACCGTGTCCTTTTCGTCGTCCTCACTCTCGTGCGTGCTTATATCAGAAGCAGTCGACCCCCACCACACTGTCACTCAACGCCCCCTGCTTTCCCCCACTCCTGCCGTCCGAACCGTCCCCACCTTCCTCCCCTTCCCCCCCCTCCTCCCCCTCCTCCACCACACCACCCAGCCCACCTCGTCTGATAACCTGTAGCCCTGATACAGCCGCTACAGCCGCCGCCGCCGCCGCCGCCACAGCAGCAGCCTCGGTCTCCAAACCAGGTGGCCCGGCGGGAAATCCTCCCGAACCTGCGGTAGGGTCGGTAAGAAGAGCCCGTCCTGAGGAACGGTGCCAGCGGTGAATGCGCCGAACATGCTTCCCATGCTGCTTAAAACGGGGATGTCTTCGGGGATGGAATGCGCGGCGGATTTGAGAGCCCCACACGGGACAATGGGATGGCGGATCCCCACATCTCCGGGCTTCGCTGCTGCTTCTAGCGAGTCCGCTTCTACCGGATCCCGCCGTTCTGAATCCAGCGGCTCCGTCGGCGCTTGCTTGGCGAGATCGGCTGGATCGCGGGGAAGCGGAAGCGGCGGGATTGACGCTGGCGGAAGCGGAGGCGGAATCTCCCATTCCCCCTCTTCTGCTTCAACGCTTTCTCCCAGCCCCCAGCCTCCCTCTTCCCGGCGCCTTCCGCGCGCCTCTCGCATTCCCTCCGCTCGCGCCTGCCGCTGCGCTCGCCGCCCCGCACCGAACGAGAAACGAGAAACACCGGAACCGGGAAACGTGGAACGAGGAAACGGTGCATCAAGAAGGAGTAGCGTGAGACGGACGGATGGCGGACGGAGGGCGGAGGGATGGAGCTCGAGGGCACGGGGAACGATTCTTGGGGGAAAGATTCTCGGGGGGACGATGCTTTGGGGGAACGAGGCTTTGGGGAACGATGCTTTGGGGGAAACGATTCTTGGGGAACGATTCTCGCGGTCGGCAGAACGATTGTCTCAGGGGACGTGGTGGGAGAATGGCGCATCGGCGCTGGTGAAAACGGAGGTCGGCCGCGCTCGCGGATACGCGGCGCTCGGGAAAACGGTGGCATGGCAAACTGCGCACCGAGGAACGGTATAAACGGACGGCGGCGGAAAGGGAAGCTGCGTGCGCGACGAAAGGAATCGCATGGAGGTCAACTCCCGATAGCTCCATAGCCGACGCAACGCAGGTGAGTGAGTGATCATATCGCAGAAATGGTTGCACCGAGACAAACTAGCACTAGTTAGTAGAAGCGACGGATACAAACTGGAATTGCACAAACCTAGGCGCATCTTATGTTCTAGAATCTAGGCACGCCAATGAGTTAGGAAAGCAGGTTCTAAAAATTAGGCACGTGAATGTGCTAGGAAAGCAGGATATGGCGCAGCGAGAGCAGTCTAAGTGCGTTTGAGTGGAGTCGAGGGAGGAAAGGTGAGGCCAAGAGCGACAGCGCGACGCGGCCAGTCGCTGCAACTTTACAACCTCCCAGTGCACGCACCCACAGCTGCAAATGGGGCTTGATACAGTGCGGTACAGAACGACTTGATGCAGTTCTGTACCTTGGTACAAGACACAACTAACTTACTTATGTTTACATGCGTAATCATGTGTGAGATCATGATGTTTGCATATGAGATTAAAAGCGTACATAAAATCAGTGGGAAAGCTTTCAAAAATATAGTTCAAACGGATTTCTTCTTATTTGGCATAGGTGATTTTGGATTGTAACTCATGCACAGGTTCAATCATTTACACGCACGCGCACGCACGCACACACACGCGCGCGCGCGCATACACACACACACATACACATACTTACATACTTACATACTTACATACTTACATACTTACATACTTACATACTTACATACTTACATACTTACATACCCACACACTCACACACACATACATTCGCACATACACACACACACACGCATACACACATACTCACATAATCACATACACACACACACTCACACACACATACATACACCCACACACATATGCATGCACACACACATATACATATACACTCACGCATATACAAACGCACACACACACACAGAAACACACAGACACCACACACACACACTTATTCACACGTACACATACACACGTGAACGCGCGCGCGCGCGCGCGCGCACACACACACACACACACAAATGCTCGCACACACGCGCGCACATTTATACACATACGCACACACGTACCCCCCCCCCCCCTCCCCATACACACACACACACACTCTTACATTTTCGTCTTGGATTTAGCATCAATAATGTGGATCTAAAAATTGCTACTTCACAGGTTTACACATATTATTGTTGCTTCTTTTGTTTCATTATTCAATTCTAGACACAACACAGCTAACGTTGCATGCAAGCAGTGCATCTGTGTATGTTTCATAGTATCTTGTGTGTTGAACAAGTAGCTTTGTATCTTAACTCTATATCTGTTCACGAAGCCCAATTGAGATGCCTATTGAAATGACAAAATAGAAGCACATGGATTCAAATGTACAGCCTGCAATTTGGTGGTATCACGCATGCTGTAAATTGAAGAGCTTTCAGTTTACAGCTTGACTGTATAGCCCCGAATCGCACTTCCAAGAATGGTCAAGGTGTTCTCTGTAGTTTTCCTTTAGGGCAACCACCTCGCCTTCCCAAACAATCCCCTCGCCCTCCCAACCAATCCCCTCGTCCTCTCAACCAATTTCCTCGTCCTCCCAACCAATCCCCTCGTCCTCCCAACCAACCCCCTCGTCCTCCCAACCCCCTCGTCCTCCCAACCCCCTCGTCCTCCCAACCCCCTCGTCCTCCCAACCCCCTCGTCCTCCCAACCCCCTCGTCCTCCCAACCCCCTCGTCCTCCCAACCCCCTCGTCCTCCCAACCCCCTCGTCCTCCCAACCCCCTCGTCCTCCCAACCCCCTCGTCCTCCCAACCCCCTCGTCCTCCCAACCCCCTCGTCCTCCCAACCCCCTCGTCCTCCCAACCCCCTCGTCCTCCCAACCCCCTCGTCCTCCCAACCCCCTCGTCCTCCCAACCCCCTCGTCCTCCCAACCCCCTCGTCCTCCCAACCCCCTCGTCCTCCCAACCCCCTCGTCCTCCCAACCCCCTCGTCCTCCCAACCCCCTCGTCCTCCCAACCCCCTCGTCCTCCCAACCCCCTCGTCCTCCCAACCCCCTCGTCCTCCCAACCCCCTCGTCCTCCCAACCCCCTCGTCCTCCCAACCCCCTCGTCCTCCCAACCCCCTCGTCCTCCCAACCCCCTCGTCCTCCCAACCCCCTCGTCCTCCCAACCCCCTCGTCCTCCCAACCCCCTCGTCCTCCCAACCCCCTCGTCCTCCCAACCCCCTCGTCCTCCCAACCCCCTCGTCCTCCCAACCCCCTCGTCCTCCCAACCCCCTCGTCCTCCCAACCCCCTCGTCCTCCCAACCCCCTCGTCCTTCCATGATCCCATCCCCCCATGGTCGTATTCCATGGTCGTATTCCTCACATGGCGTGAGTGGGCGGGAGTGGTTGTGAATGGGTGGGGACGGGCTAAACCCGGGTGTGTGAGAGGTTTCCTACTGTGTATGCAACTTTTTGGCTGTTTCTGTGCGAAGGCAGAGTAAAACAAGATATATAAGGAGGAAAACCATCAAATTGATGGAAAAAAAACATGTTCCTTTCTTTCCTTTTTGTTTAGTTTTGTCTATTCCTGGCTTTTCCTGCCCCATTTGCTTACTCCCTCATCCCTCGACTCTCCCGTCGTTCTACCGCCCTTGTGTCCCCCCCTGCTGCCTTTGTGCCTTCAACCCCTCCTCCCTCCTCCCCTTGGTTTTGCCGCTCCGGTGCCTCTCCCCATCCCCTCGTTCCGCCCCGCTCATTCCCTGCCCACATCCAGACGTTGAACGCACACCACGCCGCCGCGACGCTCCTCTCCCCCAATCACGGCGGGCCATGTGGCGCTGCACTTGCGCGACACCACGTGGTAAGAGGAAATCGAATCTCAACAAAAGATGCAAGTAATACAAGAAATAAAACAGGAAAACGGAAGCGTATCACATCCGTTAGCATTGAAATCGTCACCCCACTCTCATTTGTCTCCCTTTCCCCCTCACCCCCGCTGCCTCTTTCCTATTCCTCCCTCCCGTTTCCTGTGCTTAGGTGCTGGATAAGGCACGGGACGAGGCAGGGAGAGCAAATGGAGGCAGGGCGTGGGAGACGAAGGAGGAGAAGGAGGTGGTGACGGCGGGCAGCAAGCAAGGGGTGGTTCATCACCATCTCGCACACCATCGACGTCTCCCATCCCCCAACACCCGCCAACGGACTGCTAGGCTCGGGGCACCAAGACACATCGCGCCATGCGGTAAGAGAAACAAGGAGGCTGAAAGTCAGAGTAAGAAAAAAAATAAAATCAGCACAGTACTAATAATAATAATAAAAAGTTAAAAAAAAAACCTCCAGAAGGTTTTATTTGCTTGCTGGTTCCTGTCATTGTTCTCTAACCCATACTGCGAATTTCTCTAAAATAGACAAAGAAAAAAAAAACCACATAAAAACAAAAACAAACAAAACCGGTTTTCCCTTATCTCATCCATTTTCCTTTCCCCCGTCCTTTCCCTTATCTCATCCCATTTCCCTTCCCCCTGGTTTTTTTTCACATAATCTCATACCATCTCCCTTTCCCCTGGTTTTATTTCACCTCAACTCATACAATCTCCCTTCCCCCTGGTTTCATTTCACCTCATCTCATACCATTTCCCTTCCCCCTGGTTTCATTTCACCCCATCTCATACCACTTCCCTCCCCCTTGGTTTCATTTCATCTCATCTCATACCATTTCCCTCCCCCCTGGTTTCATTTCGTCTCACCTCATACCATCTCCCTTTCCCTTGGTTTCATTTCACCCCATCTCATACCATTTCCCTACCCCTTGGTTTCATTCCCCTCCCCCCTGGTTTCATTTCATCTCATATCATACCAATTCCCTTCCCCCTGGTGTCATTTCACCCCATCTCATACCATCTCCCTCCCCACTGGTTTCATTTCATCTCATCTCATACCATTTTCCTTTCCCCCTGGTTTCATTTCACCTCATCTCATACCATCTCCCTTCCCCCTGGTGTCATTTCACCCCATCTCATACCATTTCCCTCCTCCCTGGTTTCATGTCACCTCATCTCATACCATTTCCCTTCCCCCTGGTTTCATGTCACCTCATCTCACACCATTTCCCCTCCCCCTGGTATCATCCTCATCTCATACCATTTCCCTTCCCCCTGGTTTCACTTCACCTCATCTCAAACCATTTCCCTCCCCCCTGGTTTCATTTCATCTTATCTCAAACCATTTCCCTTCCCCCTGGTTTCATTCCCCTCACCTCATACCATTTCCCTCCTCCCTGGTTTCATGTCACCTCATCTCATACCACTTCCCTCCCCCTTGGTTTCATTTCATCTCATCTCATACCATTTCCCTTCCCCCTGGTTTCATTTCACCTCATCTCATACCATTTCCCTCCCCCTGGTTTCATTTCATTTCATCTCATACCATTTCCCTCCTCCCTGGTTTCATGTCACCTCATCTCATACCATTTCCCTTCCCCCTGGTTTCATGTCACCTCATCTCATACCATTTCCCTCCCCCCTGGTTTCATTTCACCTCATCTCAAACCATTTCCCTTCCCCCTGGTTTCATTCCCCTCACCTCATACCATTTCCCCCCCCCCTGGTTTCATTTCATCTCATCTCATACCATGTCCCCTCCCCCTGGTTTCACCCCATCTCATACCATTTCCCCCCCCCCCCCCTGGTTTTACTTCATCTCATCTCAAACCATTTCCCTCCCCCCTGGTTTCAATTCATCTTATCTCAAACCATTTCCCTTCCCCCTGGGTTCATTCCCCTCACCTCATACCATTTCCCTCCCCCCTGGTTTCATTTCATCTCATCTCATACCATTTTCCTTTCCCCCTGGTTTCATTTCATCTCATCTCATACCATCTCCCTTCCCCCTGGTTTCATGTCACCTCATCTCATACCATTTCCCTTCCCCCTGGTTTCATTTCACATCATCTTATCCTATTTTCCCGTCCCCCCTGCTTGCACCCCTCTTTTCATCTCACCCCATTTTCCCCTCCCCCCTGGTTTCACCCCCCTTTCTCATCTCATACCATTTCCCTCCCCCCTGGTTTCACCCCCCTTTCTCTTTTCATGCCATTTCCCTCCCCCCTGGTTTCATTTCATCTCATCTCATACCATCTCCCTTCCCCCTGGTTTCATGTCACCTCATCTCATACCATTTCCCTTCCCCCTGGTTTCATTTCACATCATCTTATCCTATTTTCCCGTCCCCCCTGCTTGCACCCCTCTTTTCATCTCACCCCATTTTCCCCTCCCCCCTGGTTTCACCCCCCTTTCTCATCTCATACCATTTCCCTCCCCCCTGGTTTCACCCCCCTTTCTCTTTTCATGCCATTTCCCTCCCCCCTGGTTTCATTTCACCTCATCTCATATCATTTCCCTTCCCCCTGGTTTAATTTCACCTCATCTCATATCACTCACCTTCCCCCTGGTTTAATTTCACCTTCTTCTCATGCCATTACCTTCCCCCTGGTTTCATTTTACCTCATATCACACCATCTCCATTCCCCCCTGGTTTTATTTCAACTCATCTCATCCCATGCCCCCTCCCCCCTGGATTCTCCCCCCTTTCTCATCTCATGCTCAATCCCCTAAACCCCTGGTTTCACGTTCATCCCCCCTTTCTCATCTCATGCTCAATTTTCTTCCCCCTGGTTTCACGTTCACCCCCCCTTCCCATCTCAAGCCCATTACCCTCCCCCTGGTTTCACCTCCGTTTCCCTCATCTCATCCCTATCTCCTCTGGTTGGACCCCATTCTCTCCTTATCTCACACCGTTCCCCCCCTGCTTTCACCCTCGTTCGCGTTATATCATCATTTGTTTCTCCGGTTCGACCCCACCTTTTCCATATCTCATACCGTTTTCCCCCTGATTTCACCGTCGTTCGTGTAATATCATCCCTATTTCCTCTGGTTTCATCCCCCTTTCTCATCTCATCCACATTTTCCCTTCCCCAGGGTTTTACCCTCCTTTCTCATCTCATCCCAACCCCCTTCTCCCTGGTTTCACCCCCGCTTTTCCTCATCTCATCCCACATCCCTGGTTTCATCCCCTTTTCCCCTAGTCCCATCTCGTCTCCCCCCGATACCATCCCGGCCTTTGTGTTATCTCATCCCCATTCCCCCCCCTGGTTTAACCCCTTTTGCACAGGTGCCATTCTTTCTTGTGAGCGCATTGAAGATCCGTGGTTTGCAATGCATAGAAAGTATATGTATGAAATATGAATGTAGAATAGATTGTGCCCAGGTCAGCGACCGAATATGTGATGGCGTGTAGGTTCCTGGTTAGGCGTAGACGCACACTGCTCCCCCCTGGGACAGGTTTGGGAAGGCCTTCAGGTCCGGAACAGGTGTTGGAAGGCCCGGGACAGGGTTGGGAGGGGTTGGGAAAGGTCCCAGCAGGTCCCGCCCGTCCCCCAGCCCCTCTCCCCCGGTCCCCTATCCTTGGGCAAGGCAGGGCAAGGCAAGGCAGGGTACGAGAAAAAGGGGGCTGAGAATCAAGAGGAGAAGAAAGTGGATATCTGCACAAGGGAAGAACAGACCCACAGGAATTTCCAAAACCAGAACGGCCAAAAACGCGCCCTTCTTCCCACTGCCGTATCTCATATGCCCTTCGCCTCCCGTATCATGATATCACCCTGCTGCCCCCCTAACCCGGTTACCCCTGGGTCCGTCCCCCTACCCCCCCAAACCCCGTGGGACGAGCCGGGAGCTCGTTTCCAGGGGTTTGGGGGGGAGGGGGGGGGGGACTTAGGGGGGACGTGGGGGGGTCACCACTTGAGCGGTCAAGGCCGGTGGAAGGCGGTCAAGAGCGGTGAACTGGCAAGGCAATGAAAATAGGTGCCACTTTGGCTTTGGCTTTGGCACTTTGAGGAAAATCCGACTGGCCTTGTTGGTCTTGTAGTGTATGCATAGCAATGATTGTGATATTAAAGCCCTGGTTGCCCCTCTGACTGACCCAAGGCCTGACATAATGTTGTGTTTGTATGAATGTAACTAGTGCTTTGCTCAACACAAGAGTTACAATAACTGGTCAGCTCAACCCAGAAGAGTCATAATGTACAGACATGTGCAACATGGGGGTCAGCTCAACCCCAATCACAATCACATCTCTGTCTCCCAGCACTGCTCCTGGCGGCCTTTCTGTGTGGCCTGAACACTCACAGGGTGGCCCCCCGGGGGCATGGGCAGGGCGGGCAGGGGCTGGGGGGAGCGGGGGGTGGGGGGAGAGCCAGGGGGAAAAAGGGGGGGAAGCGGTATCAGGGGGACCGTGGGGCTTGGGAGGCGTTCTCGTGGACCCCGCCCAAGGGGAAGAAAGGGCATGCATGTGTCCGGGCATGCATGTGTCCGGGCATGCATGTGTCCGGGCATGCATGTGTCCGGGCATGCATGTGTCCGGGCATGCATGTGTCCGGGCATGCATGTGTCCGGGCGTGCATGTGTTCGTGCGTGCATGTGTCCGGGCATGCATGTGTTCGGGCATGCATGTGTCCGGGCATGCATGTGTTCGGGCATGCATGTGTTCGGGCATGCATGTGTCCGGGCATGCATGTGTTCGGGCATGCATGTGTTCGGGCATGCATGTGTTCGGGCATGCATGTGTCCGGGCATGCATGTGTCCGGGCATGCATGTGTTCGGGCATGCATGTGTCCGGGCATGCATGTGTTCGGGCATGCATGTGTCCGGGCATGCATGTGTCCGGGCATGCATGTGTTGGTGCATGGCAGCACATTCAACTGCCTGCCTCCTCTGGACATCTGCCACCCCGTTCTGCCCGTTCCCACCATTCCGCTCTCTCCTCTTCCCCTTCACCTTCCCAACCCCCCCTCGCCAGGCACCCCTGTGTGGCCTTCCTGGACACGGACGTGGGTCAGCCTGAGTTCACTCCGCCCGGCCTTGTCTCGCTGCACCTCCTCTCCCACCCCGTCTTCGGTAGGTACTTCTCCTCCTCTCCTCTCCTCTCCTCTCCTCTCCTCTCCTCTCCTCTCCTCTCCTCTCCGCCACCTCAGATCCATCCCTTCTTCTCCCAGAAACCCGTCCTCTCAGAACCCCCTCCACTCCCCAACCCCACCTTAAACTCCTCTCTGTACGGCGAAATCAGCCCACCTTCGCCTCCTTACCTGCCGCCTCCGTATTCCCTGCCCCCCACTGCCTTCCCTTTCCCCCCCACACTACAGGCCACACAGCTTTGCACCAGCGCACGCCCCTGGCAAGCCACCTGTATGGGGCCATCAGCCCTCCCTGTCCCCAACATCCCATCACCTGCGTGGACGACCCCATGCTCTACCTGCTGCTTGCCCCTCCTTTCCCCCCCACACTACAGGCCACCCTGCACTCCACCAGAGGACCCCCCTAGCAAGCTACCTGTACGGCGACATCAGCCCGCCCTCCCCTCCCTACCCTCCCCACCTCCGTTCCCCCTGCCCCCTTGTTACGTTCCTGCGGTCCCCACACACGACAGGCCACCCTGCGCTGCACCAGCGCACCCCCGTTGCAAGCCACCTGTACGGCGACATCAGCCCCGGCAGTGACCCCGCACTGTATCTGCGGCAGCTCTTCTCGCTCTACGACTGCTTCCGACAGAACTACTATGATGGGCACGGGGCAGCAGCGCTGCCACTGGTGATCAACACCCATGGGTGGATTAAGGGTGAGAATGATCATAGGCATCAAAGGTGCTTACATGGTGATTGGATCCCGGTGTACCTGACCGTCCACTGTACCTGCGGCAGCTCTTTTCTCTCTGCAACTATGTCCGACGGAACTACTACCATGGGCACAGGGCGGCGGCACTGCCACTGGTCATCAACACACACGGGTGGATCAAAGGTGAGTGATTAAAACATATCAATGGTGTCTGGGTTCCGCGCTCCACTGACCCCGCACTGTACCTGCGGCAGCTCTTCTCGCTCTCCTCCCTGCCCTTCCCTCCACACACGTCATCTCTGTACAAACCCCATTTCTCCCTGCTTTCTCCCTGCCCTTCCCCTCTCCCTCCCCACTCCTTGTGCAATACAGACATAGGGTACGACCGCTTGGTCGACCTCATTCCCTACACGGCGCCCACACACGTCATATCTGTCCAAACTGCCCAACCTAGGCTACAGTCCTCTCTTCTTAACCCCTTCCGAGTTTCCTCCCTCCCCTCCCTCTCCCTGCCAAACCTCTCCGCCCATCCCCCAGGCATAGGTTATGACGCTTTAGTGGATCTGATTCGCTACGTGGCCCCCACACACGTCATCTCGCTGCTCGCCCCCGATGCAGCAGACAACCTGCCTGCAGGGCACTTCTGGCAGCCGGGGGGGTTCGCCCCCGAGGACATCAACCCCAACATGACGCCCCTGGGTGGTGTGGGGGGCGGTGGCGAGGGCGCCTGGGGGATGGGGGGGGAGTGGGAGGGGGAGGGGGAGGGGGGCGATGTGGGGGGTGCAGGGGGAGGTGCAGGGGTACAAGATGGGGGAGGGTTTCGTGGGGGAGGAGGAGATGGGGAAAGAGAGGGAGTGGAAGCAGCAGCAGCAGGGCAGGGGGCAGCAGGCCCGGCAGGGGCAGCAGCAGCAGGGGCAGTGGTGCGCACGTCATTAATCACAATCACATCGCTGTCTGCCAGCGCTGGGCCTGGCGTGAGGTGAGTCGCGAGGAGGGCGGGAGGGCAGTTTCAAGGCGACTCAAACGTCACATTGCTGTGTACCAGTGCTGGCTGGCTGCGGTGTGAGGGGAGCTACTACCAGGGGTGCGGGAGGTGAGGAGGACCCCCACAGCAACACCTACTGGGTGGCCCATGAGCATCGCAGCCTGCGAATGCTAGCAGCCATCCGCTATGCCCTCTTCCCTATGGCCTCAACCTCCCTCTCCTCTCCCCTCTCATGCCTTCCCCTTCTCCTTTCCTCCCTCTCAGCAACTCCTACCGGGTGGCACACGAGCATCGCAGTGTGCGGGTGCTAGCAGCCATCCGCCACGCTCTCTCCCCCTCCCGCCGCCTTGCCCTCTACAAGCTCGCCCGCCACATCCCCCCCCACCCCGCCCCTCCCACCACCACCTCCCCCTCTTCCACCGCCTCTCCCTCTTCCACCACCTTTCCCTCTTCCTCCGCCGGCCCCCCTGCGTCCTGCCCTCCCTCGCGCCCCTCGCCCGCTATCCCCGCACCCATCTTCCTGTTCCCGTTTGACGAGCGCTGGGAGATGGCGCGCTGTGCGCGCCTGCTGGCGTGGCGGGCGCCCTTCGAGGTGGACCTGGGGGACCTGCACGTGGGCTGCGCACATGGGGAGGTGAGGGGGGAATGGGAGAGGTGAGGGGGGCTTGGGGGAGGTGAGAGGGTGGGCAGGCGGGTATAGCAGCTTGCCTTGCTGTGCGTACCTGTTGGCATGGCGGGCGCATTATGAGGTGGACCTGGGGAACTGAACGTGGGCTGCACGCATGGGGAGGTGAGGGGGAGAGGCTAGATGAGCGCATGGGGAGGTGAGTGCACAACCCAATCAGCCCGATGTGATACATCTCATCACCTCTCGTCAGGCCTCAGTTTTGTCATCCATATCAATTCATGGTCACGCACAGGCCCCTGTCTGTCAGCATGTGAGGAGCGAAGCCAGTCACACCCACATCAACTCCCTTTGTGCCTTCCACATTGCATCCTCGACTGGCCATTCCTGAACACCCCCTCCACATACTCCCCTCAACGCTCCATTACCTCCCCTTTCCCCATTCCACCCCGCTCTCCACCCCTTTCCCCGCCCGCCCCTCTCCTCTCCCCACTCCTGCCCCTCTCCTCTGCAGCTGTCTCCCGGCAACACGCTCATCGCCCTCAATGCCGCCATCGTCGGCCTCTGCTCCTCCTTTCCTCCCCCTCTCCCCTCCCTGCCGCCTCCGCCCTCCCTGCCCATTGACCCATCCACCTCTGCTGCTACTACTTGTCACCGAATATGCACTTCGTGCATATGCGATAACAGTTGGTGCACGGGTGTAGATGCAAGTGTAGATTCAGGTGTAGTCTATTGCATGATTACAATTCGAGGGTGAGTTCCTGGGTGGGTCTGGTGGGGTTGAGGCGAAGTTGTTGGGAAGGGTTGGAAACATCGAGGGGTGGGAATCCAACGAACCAATCTGAAGCAACTGGCCCTTGCTCGAGGCGCACATTGAGAAGTGTGCGACTGAGCCAGGCACAGGTAAATTCAGTATCCTGCACCCTCTCGTTGCTTTTCTCCTGTTATTCTCTCATATTAGTGGAAAGCTGTTACCTCAGATCTAGCATCCGGTGGCACGCCACTATGGGAGGACCTACGGGGTGAGGGAGGAAACTCTTTCATAACAGGAGAAAAGGAGGAATATGGTTATAATCTGGAGCGGCGCCGACGCAGGAAGCAGGAGCGGCGTGAGAAGGAGAATCACTCATCAGAGCAGCAGCGGGGGCGGGCGGAGGAGCAACAGGAAGTGCGCAAGGACGAGTTCTCACCTGATCCGACATACTGCTGCTGCTGCTGCTCCAACAGCAGCGACACCACCAGCAGTACCGCCAGAAGCAGCAGAAGCAGCAACTGGTGCAGCAGAAGCAGAGATGGACATAACCACAGACCCAGCCGCAGCAGCAGAAAACAACACAGCAGCAGTGCCAGGAGCAGAACCAGGAGCAGCAGCAGGGGCAGTGCCAGGCTTCCCACGTGTGGTTTGGAACCCTCAAGAAGCTGCTCTCCTGCCCTGCCTCTCCTTTGGTACTGCCCCACCCCTCTGTTCTCCCACATTCTCCAGATTCATATCATACCATGATGTGCACTCCCATTGCCCCCCCCCCCCCCCCCCCCCCCCCCCCCCCCCCCCTTTTCCTCTTCCTACATGGATAGATGATATGCTCTCTGCACTCTCACTGCGCCCGACTCTCTCTCACCGTCAGTGCTTATGACCGTTATTATGATCCGACTCAGCATCACCAGTACCAGACGTGTTCAGGGGCGTGGTTGGCTGTGGGGCTGTGGTGTGGCGACACTTGTGCTCTGCCTTCTCGCTGCTCCATGCACTCTTCGTCCTGCTGCCCAGCCCACCATGCCATCCCTCTCGATTACTGTTCTCATCATCCCCACCACCAGGCGTGGTGAGGGGGGTGGACGCCAGCAGGGGAGTGGCACACGTGGTGGCGCCACTACCACTGGCCCGCATGCACCACGTCGACACGCTCCTCATCTCACACCTGCACCTGCCCTCTCCGCTGCTCCTAGTGAGTTCTATCCTCCTCATTTTGCACCTCCACCTGCCCTCTCCACTGCTCCTAGTGACTTCAATCCTCCTCATTTTGCACCTCCACCTGCCCTCGCCGCTGCTCCTAGTGAGAGCATTCTCGCACCTATCGTTCTGCGTTTTTTCCTTACATACGGAATCATTTTGCACATCCACATGCGTTTCACCTAGTCTCGAGAATTCTCGAATGTCACTGGAATGCACCATATCAGCATGCTCCTTTTCTGCTTGTATTACGTTTGATAAATCTCAGAAGTTATACAAATATGCTCCTCCTTTTGCACACGTCCTTCCTCCCCCTGACTCATGCCCCTCCCTCTCACTATCACCTTGCACCTCAATTTCTCTCCCACCTCTGTTCTTCCACCTCTGTTCTCAATTCCACTCCTTTCTCATCTCTCCCATCTCACCTCCCCTCTTCATCTTTTCTAGCGCTCTCTCTTGCCCTCCCTTGCCTTAGTCTCCCTCCTCCTCCCCAACCACCCAGTGAACGACCTGGTCTCACCGTACCTCTGCTTCCAATTTCTTGCCGATGCCCGTCCCAACTTGCTATGCTCCCGTATACCCCACCCCCTACTCCCCCCATTTTCCCCGCCCCTCTCCCCTTTCCTCCCCCCAACCCCCAGTGCAACGACCTGGTGTCGCCGTACCTCTGCTTCCACTCACTCGCCGACGTGACTCTAGGAGCCAAGGAGCTGCCCATTAGGGAGGTCAAGCGGTGAGGTGATGAGCGGTGAAGAGCGGTTAAGAAAGGTGAAGGATTGTGATTCGTGAAGCAGCAAGGGGCGTTGAAACGTGGTGTGGCACAGTGGCAGTGATGATTGCGGAGACTGTATTATGGGAGGTGATGAATGGATGGTGTGATTATTGGCACTACGCTCATTGCCTTGTTTGGCCATAAGCCTGCAATGGTAATTTTGGAGAAGGGGACGTATGCACCAGGCCCTACTTTTTTCGAGTAAATTACTCTCTTTTTTTCAAGTACAACCACTTTGTCAAAGTTTGCCATATCTGTACTTGAAGTCACCAGATGGCACAACGGTGATTTCATACATTCACACGAGGGAGGCGCGGTTTCGATACTTGAAATGTCATTCGGAGTAGTAAGAAAAGTTTCTTTTTACTTACTTCCCAAAGAACTTAGGGTACACTCCGCTCAGGACATGTACCCTTAGAAAGTGTCCGAATCACTTTTTGCCCGAGTCGCCCTCAAATGTCTTGGAACCTCATGTCCCAATCGATAAATGTACTGCGACCCTGCACGACCGCGCGACAATTATACGAGAAGGGCTGTGATTGGCCCTTCGCGTGAGTGGACCACTCATTGTGACAAGGTTGGGGAAAGTGTACTGGGTCACGGCGGGAGATATGCGAGGAAGCCCTGATTGACCAATCACGCTTCAGTATACGCGTTGGATGGGAAAAAACGAGCAGTAAAATCATGACCAGGTACATGCAGAGGGGATAGAAATTTGGAACCGCGTGCGATGGCAGGTCATTGTCATTGTCACGCTGGTGTTCAATTAGCCCGCGACAGTTCCGTGGTTCACGCCATCCAGCAAAAAAAAACGTTTTGCGACTTTGATGCGTGGTCCGGAATGTCAAGATAGCAAGCAGGAATGATTGCATTGAATGAAATGTGGGTACAAGTACTAACCCTAACTTCGGGTTGTACCCCATACGGGCTACCCCACTATAGCCTACTCAGAACTAGCACATATATAGTTTGACACACCCCCATAGGCAAAGTGGGGGAGAACAAGGGGTCACAAGACCAGTCAAGAAAAGCAAAGCAAGCTCGAGGTGGATCACAACGTCACCACACACTCGAGCACTAGCTAAGGGCCACAAGGCCAGTTCACATGCAGGGGTATATATGCAACAACAGTACAGTGATCACTACCTAGCAAGAGCAAGCATGCAGGTATATATATAGATCACAGTACAAGCAAAGTCACGTAGTGAGCAAGTAAGACGAAACAGGCACAAGGCCTAACATAGTACACAGCGCTGATGATCACCAGACGGAAGTGCCTTGTCTACGTACAGAACTGGAGGAGAACGAGGCCGCTCTCCCAAGTCGGTCAGCAGGTATGTGAGCCAGCGTAACTCCTATGTAGCCATGGCTGTGGCGTAGATCTCAGCCTCACAACTGGAGATGAGAACAGAAGACGAGCGGGTAGACCGCCAAGAAACAGAGCCGCAGCCAAGGCTGAAAGTGTAACCCTGTGACGACCGCTGCGTAGCCAGGTCGTCAACCCAAGAAGCGTCTGAGTGTCCAGTCAGGAAAACTGAGCTCCGCCCTCCAAGCTCGAGCCCCATGCCCGATGTACTGCACACGTAGCGCATTACCCTCTTCGCAGCATCCATGTGCACCTTTCGGTGCCTACCAGGAGCCACGTAGCGTGCCAGAAGGCCAAGAGGGTACGCAAGGTCAGGACGAGTGAAGGTCATCAGGTACATGAGGCAGCCCACTAGCTCTGGGTACGAGCCACTCGGCTCTACGGACTCGTCCGAAGGTGGAGCTGAGAGCGAGTGACTTGTAGCCAGAGGAGTGGACTGTGGCGAGGACCAAGTGAAGCCGAAGCGCTGAAGGACCTGCTGCACCATGTGTGACTGAGTCAGTGTGATGGTGCGGCGTGCTCTGTCCCGGGTGATCTGCAAGCCAAGGTAACTGCGCAGCTCACCCAGGTCTGTGCACTTGTGTCTCTTCTACAGCTCCGACTTCACAAGGGCGAGAGCCTCAGTGTGAGCAGTGGCAAAGACCAAGTCGTCGACGTACACGAGGATGTAGAACGGCGGCAGTGAAGTGTCGGTGCGTAGAAACAACGACGGGTCAGCCGTGGAAGGGGCAAACCCAAGAGCAGCTAGTGTCGTCCTCAGTGTGTCGTGCCACTCACGAGGCGCCTGATGGAGACCGTAGACTGGCCGATGGAGGCTCCACTGGGTACCAGGAGGGAACGACCCAGTGAAGCCAGGTGGGCGGCGCAGCCAGATCTCCTCGTGCAGGCTGCCCTATAAGAATGCTGTGCTGAAGTCCAGAGAGTGAAGCTCGTAGTCACGTTGAGCGGCAACGTGCAGCAGCACCCAAAGAGTGGTCATCTTCGGGGTGGGGGAGAACGTATGGAAAAAAGTCAACTCCCTGTCGCTGACTGAAGCCTCGTGCAACGTAACGAGCCTAGAAGACAGGCGGAGAACCCAGCGGCCGCTTCACCCTGAAAATCCACATGCCATCGATGATGTTCGCCCCAGGAGGGGAAACCTCATCGATGTAAGTGCCTGTGGACTTCCAGGATGCCATCTCTGCGTCCATGGCTGTCTGCCACTGAGAGGAGTAGGGACCCGTGATCGCCTCAGCGTAAGAACGTGGGGTCGGGATGTCTGGTGCATCTGGGTCTCCCTTAGGGGCAAGCAGCATGGCCACGAGATGAGGCGCAACGGCTGCAAGACACTCAAAGTCCTCCTGCTTGTCCTCAAGGACGTCCGTGCCAAGAGCACACTCACCCCCAACGGACGGAGGACAGACGGACTCAGACTCAACAACAAAACTAGCAGCGTAGTCTAGACGATAGGCTGCAGCAAAGTCAACAAGCTCAGAGACTAAGGCAGACGCAACAGCAGACTCAAACGACGGGTCAGTGACAACAGTGGCGAGTAGACGCGTGACAGTAGGGTGAGCAGCACGAACCAAGTCAGACTCAGGGTCCTGAACGTCAGGCAGAGAAGACGCAGGAGGAGACGGTAGGGGAACACGCTGTGGAACAGAGGAAGGACGAAGTGCCATAGCGTGCGTGCCAGGGACAGGAGGCGGACGCTCACGAGGAACACGACGACCAGTGCGACGCGTGCGATCAGGCGAGGCAGGACGAGACGCAGGCTCACGACGCTCTGTAAGCGAGTCTGTCTGCTAAGTGTAAGGAGAAGGAGCAGGCAGTGGTGCGCCGGGCTGTAATGGGAGGCCAGTAGAAGACGGGAGGCTAAGAACCTGGCAAAGCACGGAGTCAGGCGGTGGCAGAGACGACGATGACGGCGGAGCGAAAAACATTCGCGACGGTGCAGTGCCACCAGTACCACGAGCTCCAGCGCCTCCAGTAGCTCCAGAACCTCCAGCTCCAGGGCCTCCAGCAGCAACACCTCCAGCTCCAGTGACTCTAGCAGCATCACCTCCAGCTCCAGCGCCTCCAGCTGCTCCAGAACCTCCAGCTCCAGCACCTCCAGCAGCACTACCTCCAGCTCTAGGAACTCCAACAGCAGTACCTCCAGCTCCAGTGCCTCCAGCAGCTCCAGAACCTCCAGCTCTAGCGCCACCAGTAGCAGCACCCCCAGAACCGGCACCTCCAGCCTCAAGGTCCCCAACTCCAGGGTCGACAGGACCAGCGACAGGGCCTCCAGCAGCAGCACCCCCAGAACCGGCACCTCCAGCTCCAGGGTCTCCAACGCCAGGGTCGACAACACCAGCTCCAGGGCCTCCAGCCCCAGTACCTCAGCATCCCCAGAGCTGACACCTCCAGCTCCAGGAGCAGCATCAGTCCCGGAAGCTCCAGCCCTCCAGTACGAGCACCTCCAGAACCAGAGACACCAGCACTCCCAGCGCCACCATGACAAGCAGCTCCAGCAGGACGACTCCTCAGGCGGGTACGCGACGCAAGCCACTCTCATGCCTGCTGTGGTGAGACAGGCCCGCGTCGTGAAACGAGACCCAGAGGAACGCCAGCAGACTCAGCACCCCCAGGCTCCGCACCCCCCGGCACCTTACGGACGGGCTCAGCACCCCCAGACTCCGCAGCCGCATGCTCAGCACCCCCAGGCTTCGCACTCCCCAGCACCTCACGCGCAGGCTCAGCACCCCCAAAAGCAGCACCCCCAGCAGCACCTCCCGCAGCAGTACCTGAGTTGCTAGTGACCTCTACAGGCTCAGCCAAGGGGGGCGGGTCTACCTGAGACACACCTGAAGGAGCAGGACCCTGAGGGGGGAGGGGGTCTACCTGAGGGGGACCTGGAGCGAGGAAAAGCGGCAGGGGAGGGAGAGGGGCAGTGCGGTAGGGGCAGAGACGGTAGAAATGAACCGACTCGTCAAAGGTGACGTCCTGAGAGGGGAAGACACGGCGCGAGGTGGAGTGGTAAAACTGCTAGCCAGGTGCGTCAGGGAATGGTGCGGGAGGAGAGCTTGTCCGGGGACGTATCGCGGACAAGGGCACGAGCACCCCAGACCCGGAAAAGCGACGCATCGCCAACCTCCCCCGTCCAACGCAGTGTGGGCGAGGTCTCTGGCAAGGAGACACGGGGCCAAAGGTTGAGTTGCTGCTCGGCGTACCGGACCGCAAACGGCCACAGAAAATGGGGAGCCACCGCATGAATCAAGGAGGTACGAGCGACCTCCATGACTAAGCCAATGCGGCGCTCAGCAGCCCCATTTTGCTGTGGTGAGCCCGGAAGCGTGAACGACTGCTCGATGCCCTCCCCCTGACAGAAGGCCCGGAAGAGGTCGGAGGTGAACTCACCACCTCTGTCAGAGTGCAGAACCAGGACAGGAAGGTCCTGGCGGAACCTGCGGCGGAGCCGGAGACGGACTGCTCGTATCCAAGGGATCAGGACAGCAGGGACCTCACCATTGGTGCGCAAGGGGAAGACCGTGGTGTACCGCGAGCAGTCGTCGACAACCAGCAGAAAGTACCACTCACCGCCCTGTCCACGAACGCGGGCTGGGCCCCACACGTCCAGG